GTAGTCCAGGGAAATAAATAACATCCACGTTTTGGTGACGGTGGGTTGCTTGGGTTACATAGGTACTAGATCCGTGAGTTCGTAGCGATCGGTGACTGGAGTCGTAGGCAGTCACCGGTACTAGATCCGTGAGATTCGTAACGAGCGGTGATTAGAATAGCAGGCAGTCCCGGGAATTAGATCCGTGAGTTTGTAGCGAGCGGTGGCTGGAATCGTAGAGTCCCCGGTACTAGATGCGTGAGTTCGTAGCGAGCGGTGACTGGAATCGTAGGCAGTCCCCCGGTACTAAATCCGTGAGTTCGTAGCGAGCGGTGACTAGAATCGTAGACAGTCCCCGGTACTAAATCCGTGAGTTCGTAGCGAGCGGTGATTAGAATCGTAGACAGTCCCCGGTACAAGATCCGTGAGATTCGTAACGAGCGGTGATTAGAACAGCAGGCAGTCCCGAGAATTAGATCCGTGAGTTTGTAGCGAGCGGTGGCTGGAATCGTAGACAATCCCCGGTACTAGATCCGTGAGTTCGTAGCGAGCGGTGACTAGAATCGTAGACAGTGTGAGTTCGTAGTGAGCGGTGACTAGAATCATAGGCAGTCCCCGGTACTAGATCCGTGAGTTCGTAGCGAGCGGTGACTGGAATCATAGAATCCCCGGTACTAGATCTGTGAGGTCGTAGCGAGCGGTGACTGGAATCGTAGACAATCCCCGGTACTAGATCTGTGAGTTCGTAGCGAGCGGTGACTAGAATCGTAGAATCCCCGGTACAAGATGCGTGAGTTCGTAGCGAGAGGTGGCTAGAATGTTAGACAGTCCCCGGTACGAGATCCGTGAGTTCGTAGCGAGCGGTGACAGGAATCGTAGAATCCCCGGTACGAGATCCGTGAGTTCGTAGCGATCGGTGACTGGAGTCGTAGGCAGTCCCCGGTACTAGATCCGTGAGATTCGTAACGAGCGGTGATTAGAATAGCAGGCAGTCCCGGGAATTAGATCCGTGAGTTTGTAGCGAGCGGTGGCTGTATTCGTAGAATCCCCGGTACTAAATCCGTGAGTTCGTAGTGAGCGGTGGCTGGAATCGTAGAATCCCCGGTACTAAATCCGTGAGTTCGTAGCGAGCGGTGACTGGAATCGGAGGCAGTCCCCGGTACAAGATCCGTGAGGTTGTAGTGAGCGGTGACTAGAATCGTAGGCAATCCCTGGTACAAGATCCGTGAGTTTGTAGCGTGAGGTGACTGGAATCGTAGGCAATCCCTGGTACAAGATCCGTGAGGTCGTAGTGAGCGGTGACTAGAATCGTAGACAGTCCCCGGTACTAAATCCGTGAGTTCGTAGCGAGCGGTGATTAGAATCGTAGACAGTCCCCGGTACTAGATCCGTGAGATTCGTAGCGAGCGGTGACTGGAATCGTAGAATCCCCGGTTCGAGATCCGTGAGGTCGTAGTGAGCGGTGACTAGAATCGTAGACAATCCCCGGTACTAGATCCGTGAGTTTGTAGCGAGCGGTGACTAGAATCGTAGACAGTCCCCAGTACTAGATCCGTGAGGTCGTAGTGAGCGGTGGCTGGAATCGTAGACAGTCCCCGGTACAAGATCCGTGAGTTTGTAGCGAGCGGTGATTAGAATCGTAGACAGTCCCCAGTACTAGATCCGTGAGGTCGTAGTGAGCGGTGGCTGGAATCGTAGACAGTCCCCGGTACAAGATCCGTGAGGTCGTAGTGAGCGGTGACTGGAATCGTAGACAATCCCCGGTACAAGATCCGTGAGGTCGTAGTGAGCGGTGACTGGAATCGTAGACAATCCCCGGTACTAGATCCGTGAGTTCGTAGCGAGCGGTGATTAGAATCGTAGACAATCCCCGGTACTAGATCCGTGAGTTCGTAGCGAGCGGTGACTAGAATCGTAGACAATCCCCGGTACAAGATCCGTAAGATTCGTAACGAGCGGTGATTAGAACAGCAGGCAGTCCCGGGAATTAGATCCGTGAGTTCGTAGCGAGAGGTGACTAGAATCGTAGACAATCCCCGGTACTAGAGCCGTGAGTTCGTAGCGAGCGGTGATTAGAATCGTAGAATCCCCGGTACTAGATCCGTGAGTTCGTAGCGAGCGGTGGCTGGAGTCGTAGAATCCCCGGTACGAGATCCGTGAGATTCGTAGCGAGCGGTGACTGGAATCGTAGGAAATCCCCGGTACAAGATCCGTGAGTTCGTAGTGAGCGGTGGCTGGAATCGTAGACAATCCCCGGTACTAGATCCGTGAGTTCGTAGCGAGCGATGACTAGAATCGTAGACAGTCCCCGGTACAAGATCCGTGAGATTCGTAGCGAGAGGTGACTAGAATCGTAGACAATCCCCGGTACTAGATCCGTGAGGTCGTAGTGAGCGGTGACTAGAATTGTAGACAGTCCCCGGTACAAGATCCGTGAGTTCGTAACGAGCGGTGATTAGAACAGCAGGCAGTCCCGGGAATTAGATCCGTGAGTTTGTAGCGAGCGGTGACAGGAATCGTAGACAATCCCCGGTACGAGATCCGTGAGTTCGTAGCGAGAGGTGGCTAGAATGTTAGACAGTCCCCGGTACTAGATCCGTGAGTTCGTAGCGAGCGGTGACAGGAATCGTAGAATCCCCGGTACGAGATCCGTGAGTTCGTAGCGAGCGGTGACAGGAATCGTAGAATCCCCGGTACGAGATCCGTGAGTTCGTAGCGAGCGGTGACTGGAGTCGTAGGCAGTCCCCGGTACTAGATCCACGGATTTTGGCGATCACGATCCACGGTTTGAAATCGTAGGCAGATCCCGGGAGAACTTGATGGCGGAGATCGTAACGTAGCCTTCCTCCGAAAATCCACCGTCGCCACCACCGTCGCCACCACCGTCGCCACCACCGTCGCCACCACCGTCGCCACAACCACCATCACCCGCCACCAGCGTCACGCAGCCTGGCAGAATCCGTAGCCGGTGCTGCGTCGTATATATCCAAGTCCGCCGCTTTTTGGACTGCCACCTCCACCCCCCCAAACTTCTCAAACCTACCTCGGCGTGGTGGAGTGGTTGTGATGTGGCGTGCGTGGTGTGTGTGTGTGTGGTGGTGGTGTGTGTGTGTGGTGGTGGTGTGTGCGTGTGGTGTGTGTGTGTGTGGTGATGTGTGTGTGCGTGTGGTGTGTGGTGGTGTGTGCGTGTGGTGGGGCGCGCGAGTTGTTCACGATCATCACGGACGCAACCATTCACCGGCGGCGTTTTCCAGCGGCTGCCCCGGTCGGAGACAATAAACCTCAACAAGGTCGACGGAGCGAGAAGCTTTTAAAGTCTTCGGCTTCTCCCTCCCTCCTCCCTCCACCCGCCACTGCGACCGCGGTTACAGATCCCGCTGCATGCCGACAACCGGCGACTCCTCTCGGTGGTGGTGGTGGTGGCGGTGTTGGCACGATGCCCGCGCTAGCCGGAGATCACGACCGCCACCGCCGCTAGCACCACCACCGCCGCCGCCGGCCATCCACACGCAGGGAGTTGGGTGGCCAGCACCACGCCCGGCCGCCTTTGTCTCCCCAGTGCCAGCCATGTTTGCTACGCACCGCCGCACCAGGTACTACTCATTTGAGTCGACCGAAGGGGAGGGCCCGGGACCGGTTCAGATAATCGTCACCGGTGGTGTTGGCCGTGAGCGGGAATCATAGCGCAGCGAAGCGCTAAACCGCTACACTACCGCTCCCCGCACACACGCACAACAACATCAACAACAACAACCGCCATTCGCCACTAAGCGGCGGTGACGTCACCACGACGCTTGTGCCAGGCTATGTGCACTTTGAGGCCACGTGAAGTGTCGAACGCCCGCTGGCAGGAGGTCACGGGGGCAGACCCAGCAGGTGCCACGGGTCGATTGACTGAGATGACGGAGATGACTGGCTGATGATGCACCACCTGTGCCAACTCGCAGTGCTTTAGCCACCCGGCGCTCCGCTCGTTGTGAGCGACTGCCTCCCAAACTGCCCGGTAGCCTCAAGGTGCACCTAGCCTGGTACTGCCCAGTTAACCTCCTCCTCCTCCTCCACAGAGGGTGATCCGTTGACCACTCATCTCCACATCCTCCTGTACCAACATCAGCCCGGACTCTTCTCTAGCTCACTCATGAATCCATGCGTACATCAGCTCCACAGCACCGGCCAATTATGAACCGTATATATCAACGAACCTGACAAGGCCAAGATTAACCCCACACAGGAAACCCAAAGAGACTCCCAGGCTCATCACGACCATCGTAAAAACCGCTCACCCACACGGCCATCGTGAAAACCGCCCACCAACACGACCATCGTAAAAACCACCCACCCACACGGCCACCGTGAACCCCACCCACCCACACGGTCACCGTGAACCCCACCCACCCACACCGTCACCGTGAACCCCACCCACCCACACGGTCACCGTGAACCCCACCCACCCACACGGACATCGTGAACCCCACCCACCAACACGGTCACCGTGAACCGCACCCACCCACACGGCCATCGTGAAAACCACCCACCCACACGGTCACCGTGAACCCCACCCACCCACACGGTCGTCGTGAACCCCACCCACCCACAAGGCCATCGTGAACCCCACCCACCCACACGGCCACCGTGAACCCCACCCACCCACACGGCCACCGTGAACCCCACCCACCCACAAGGCCATCGTGAACCCCACCCACCCACACGGTCACCGTGAACCCCACCCACCCACACGGTCACCGTGAACCCCACCCACCCACACGGTCACCGTGAACCCCACCCACCCACACGGTCACCGTGAACCCCACCCACCCACACGGTCACCGTGAACCCCACCCACCCACACGGTCACCGTGAACCCCACCCACCCACACGACCATCGTGAACCCCGCGGGTCCCCTTGCCGGCGAGCGGCGAGTCTCGGCTCCGATCGCGGGGCGAGCGAGCGAGCGAGCGAGCGAGCGAGCGTTCCGGGCTGCGCGGTGGTGGACTCGGGCGGGCAGTTTAAAGATACTCACCCTTCGAGCCTCCTGTCGTATCTTCCGTCCCCCCGCGTGTGGTGCAAACCCGGCGCCGGGTAACCGGAAAGATTCGCCCCCGCCGCACCTCCACCGCCGTCTCCGCTCATCGCCGCGGCTCCTCCCCCGCCTCCACCGCCTCCTCCGCCTCCACCGCCTCCACCGCCTCCACCGCCTCCTCCTCCTCCTCCTCCCCCCGCCGCCATCGCTCCGCCGATCCCAGAGGACCCTCCGCCCCCGCGCCCTCCGGCCCCGCGGCTGCCCCGGGCCGCCGCCGCCGCCGCCGCCGCCGCCATCGCGGCCGCCGAGGGCGCGGCGAGCAGGAGGAGGAGGCCGGAAGCGGCGGCGGCTCCGGCGGCGGCTCCGGCGGCTCCGGCGGCTCCCGGCTGCGCCGACGACGACGCCGACGACGTCGTCGCCCCCGCAGCCCCGACCGGGCCGCCCACCCCTCCACCGTCGTGGTGGTCGGCGCCTCGGCCGCCGCCGGAGGCGCCGGAGGAGGCGCCGGAGGAGGCGGCGGAGGCGGCGGAGGCGGCGCCGGGCTCGTTGTAGTCGGTGCGCAGCTCGCGCTCGCCCATCTGGTGAGATGCATTGTGGGCCTTCTGCGCGCTCTTGATGTCCACAAAGTCGACGAACGCCGCCACGCCGCCGCCCTCCGAGCCGCGCCTGGGCAGGATCTTGACGCTCTCCACGCGGCCGTACCTGGCGGTGGTGGGGGTGGTGGGTGGGTGGTGGTGGTGGTGGGTGGTGGTGGTGGTGGTGGGTGGTGGGTGGTGGTGGTGTGAGGGGTGGTGGTGAGGTGGGGGGTGGTGGTGAGGTGGGGGGAGGTGGTGAGGAGGTGGGGGGGTGGGTGGTGGTGAGGAGTGGTGGTGAGGTGGTGGTGAGGTGGGGGGTGGTGGTGGTGAGGTGGGTGGGTGGTGGTGGTGGTTAGGAGGTGGGGGGTGGTGGTGGTGAGGTGGGGGGAGGTGGGGGGGGTGGCGTTGTGGTGGTGAGGTGGTGGTGAGGTGGTGGTGAGGTGGGGGGTGGTGGCGAGGTGGTGGTGGTGAGGAGATGGCAAGGTGGTGGTGGTGTTGGTGGTGAGAGGTGAGCGTTGGGGGTGACAGTGTTAGTCCAGAGAACGCCAAAAGACGGCACCAGGACAATGCCACTATTGGGGCATTTATAGCACGGTGCTGCGAGGGGCTACATCACCATTCTTATATCTTGATACTGGACAAGAAAGGTCCCATGACATGGGTTTAAGTTACGTTGAAGTTGCGTGGTGCTCCTTGATAATAATAATGATGACACTTTCCTGGCTAAATTTTGATTTAAAGCTTTCGTGACTGCAGCAATTCATATTCTTGGTTCTTTCGGTAAAGTCACGTTGAAGGGAAACAACGAAATAACAAAACACGTACAAAACGATAAAAAAATCCTCACGACGTTTGTGTTATGGTCGAAACGTCGTGAGAATTTTTTTATTGTTTTATACATATATTTTTTTATTATTTTATTGTTTCCCTTTCAACGTGACTCTACCGAAAGAACTAAGAATACCTCCCTGGCTTCCAGCCTGCAGAAGATTCGGCCCACAAAGTGGATGACAGCGGAGCCCACAGCCAATCAAACTCCGCGCCCCCGAGCGTGTGTAAAGATATTGCAACTACTGTACTGTGGGGGCGATCGTGCGGACTTTTCGGATTAGCAGCATGCAGCAGCAACAGCAGCATCACGCACGCGACTTGCTATAAACATCTCCCAAGATCGGCAGCGTGCACGGCTGTTTTGAGACCGTCAATTTGGGCACGGGGGGGGGGGGGGGGAAAAATCAAACGCGTCATTAATTCGTGTCAAAATGCTCAGGTGTGGCCACGGCCAATCCGCGAATCGGTGAATCGAGAGTGGCGCATCTGCCAGTCGGACTCGAGTCGGTCAAACCCGTGGCACCTGGGCCTGTCCCGTGTACTCCTGGCAGCGAGGCGTTCCCGACACTTCACGTGGTCTCAGAAGTCCGACGAGCAACGGCACCGGTTGCCGTGGTGACCTCGCCGAGCGCCGAGCGGCGAACGGCGGGGGATATTGTTGTTGCGTGGGCGAGTGCTTGGAGTGAGTGGTCGAGCGGGTGAGGAATTGAGTGGGTGGCTGAGTGGGTGGGCGGTCGAGCGGGTGAGTAATTGAGTGGGTGAGGAATTGAGTGGGTGGCTGAGTGGGTGGGTGGTCGAGTGGGTGAGCAATTGAGTGGGTGGCTGAGTGGGTGGGTGGTTGAGTGGGTGAGTAAGTGAGTGGGTGGCTGAGTGGGTGGGTGGTCGAGTGGGTGAGCAATTGAGTGGGTGGCTGAGTGGGTGGGTGGTTGAGTGGGTGAGTAATTGAGTGGGTGGCTGAGTGGGTGGGTGGTTGAGTGGGTGAGTAATTGAGTGGCTGGCTGAGTGGGTGGGCGGTCGGGTGGGTGAGGAATTGAGTGAGGTGACTGTGTGGGTATGCGAGCGGGTGGGTGGTTGAGTGGGTGGGTGGTTGAGTGGGTGGCTGAGTGGGTGGGTGGTTGAGTGGGTGAGTAATTGAGGGGGTGGCTGAGTGGGTGGGTGGTTGAGTGGGTGAGTAATTGAGTGGCTGGCTGAGTGGGTGGGTGGTTGAGTGGGTGAGTAATTGAGTGGGTGGCTGAGTGGGTGGGTGGTTGAGTGGGTGGGTGGTTGAGTGGGTGAGGAATTGAGTGAGGTGGCTGTGTGGGTATGCGAGCGGGTGGGTGGTTGAGTGGGTGAGCAATTGAGTGGGTGGCTGAGTGGGTGGGTGGTTGAGTGGGTGAGTAATTGAGTGGCTGGCTGAGTGGGTGGGTGGTCGAGTGGGTGAGTAATTGAGTGGGTGGCTGAGTGGGTGGGTGGTCGAGTGGGTGAGGAATTGAGTGGGTGGCTGAGTGGGTGGGCGGTTGAGTGGGTGAGAAATTGAGTGGGTGGCTGAGTGGGTGGGCGGTTGAGTGGGTGAGGAATTGAGTGGGTGGCTGAGTGGGTGAGTGGTTGAGTGGGTGAGGAATTGAGTGGGTGGCCGAGCGAAGCGTTTGACACTCCCCTCACGTGGGCCCGAAAGTCCAACCCAGCCGTCCCCCCCGCGCAAAAAACGGGAGACCACAAATGGCTGCGGCCTCCAATTCGGGTGAAACAACGAAAACTCAACTCGATTTCAGACCCGCCGATTGAACCGAAAAAGAGGAACAACAAAAACCAACGAGCTCACGGTTTTTGTTTGTTTTGGTTTAAAAAAAAAACACTTTCGGGACTCCCAGAAACCCCACCGGCATCGCCTCCGACTCCTCCCTCCCTCCACTCCCTCACTCCCTCGACCGTCGGTCCCCACCCCCCGCCCACCCTCGCCTCCTCACCCCTACCCCAACCCCCCCACCGCCACCGCCACCACCGCCTCCACCGCCTCCCGCGGCCACCGAGAAAACCTAGGTTCGGCCCAAGGGTTCTCCCTCCGTGTCCGCCCCCCCCACCGCGCCAATCCGCCGCCCTTCGAATGTCCGTCTAAAAAAAAGCACCGTCACCGTTCAAAAAGGCCCCCCCCCCACCACCACCCCCCCACCACCGCCCCCCCCCACCACCACCGCCCCCCCACCACCACCACCACCACCCCCCTCGCCCAACGTAACCTCTGGCCGGAACAGGCCAACGTTGTGCGCGCGACAATGAACTCTTATCGAGCGTGTGACATAAGATGGCGTCATCGTAATGATCATCGTCGTCATCGTCAGCCTCGCAGCAGCAGCAGAGGAGGTGGAGGCGGTGGAGGTGGAGGCGGTGGAGGCGGTGGAGGCGGTGGAGGCGGTGGAGGCGGTGGAGGCGGTGGAGGCGGTGGTGGCTTTTGAATGGCCGTCGAACAAAGACGGTCACACCGCTTTCAGATGCTATACACACTACACTATACACTACACTATACACTACACTATTCACTACACTATTCACTACACTATATACTACACTATATACTACACTATACACTACACTATACACTACACTATACACTACACTATACACTACACTATACACTACACTATACACTACACTATACACTACACTACACTATACACTACACTACACACTACACTATACACTACACTATACACTACACTATACACTACACTATACACTACACTATACACTACACCATACACTACACTACACTATACACTACACTATACACTACACTATACACACTACACTATACACACTACACTATACACACTACACTATACACTACACTATACACTACACTACACACTACACTATACACTACACTATACACTACTATATACTACACTACACTACTATACACAACACTACTATACACTACACTATACACTACACTACTATACACTACACTACTATACAATACACTACACTATACACTACACTACTATACACTACACTACTATACACTACACTATACACTACACTATACACACTACACTATACACTACACACTACATTATACACTACATTATACACTACATTATACACTACACTATATACTACACTATATACTACACTATGCTACTATACACTACGCTACTATACACTACGCTACTATACACTACACTATACACTACACTATACACACTACACTACACACTAGACTATACACTACACTACTATACACTACACTACTATACACTACACTATACACTACACTACACACTACACTATATACTACACTATACACTACTATACACTACACTATACACTACTACACTATACACTACACTATACACTACTACACTATACACTACACTATATACTACACCACACACTACACTATACACTACTACACTACACACTACACTACGCCATACACTACACTATACACTATACACACTACACTAACACTACACTATACACACTACACTACACACTACAGACTACACCATACACTACACTATACACTATACACACTACACTATACACTAAAGACTACACTACAGACTACACACTACATCATACACTACACTATATACTACACCACACACTACACCATACACGACACTATACACACTACACACTACAGACTACACACTACACTACACACTACACTACACCATACACTACACTATACACACTACACTATACACTAAAGACTACACTACAGACTACACACTACACTATACACACTACACTACAGACTACACACTACACTACACCATACACTACACTTTTGGCTCACCATCGAACAAATACGGTGGTCACCGCATCATCATCATCGTCATCATCGTCGTCGTCATCCTCTTCATCCTCGTCATCATCGCTGCGTCGTCATCGCAGCAGTCACCGCGCGGCGCTTTCAGATTCTCTTCTGCGGCCGTCTGGACCGCGCTCCTTCACGACACCCGGAGGCCTCTGGAGCTACCGCCATTGGCAAACTCGCTCAGAACGGGCGCTTCTTTTTTCACGTGTCTTCACTCCACCCACTCCACCCACCACCACCCACCACCACCACCACCCACCACCATCACCATCACCACCATCACCACCACCACCACCATCACCACCACCACCACCACCCACCCACCCACCACCACCCACCACCACCACCACCCACCACCACCACCACCACCCACCACCCACCACCACCCACCACCACCACCCACCCACCCACCCGTCACTCACCCGCCCACCCACCCGTCACTCACCCGCCCACCCACCCACCCACCCGTCACTCACCCGCCCACACGCCCG